GGGAGGGAGGGAGATCGATCACGCATGTGTGTGTGTATTTGTATGTAATGTGTGTGTGACTGTGCGTGTGCGCGTTCGTGCGGGTGCGCTTGCGTGTGTACGAGCGTGTGTCCAGCGCACGCACGCATGCTCGCGCGCGCATATTCTCACACACACATATAAACACACACAGCGTACAGATGCGCACACGCACACAGATCTTCAAGATATATATTATCCGTTAGCAATGTGTAAAGTAAAAATGTCAGCTTTTCCTTGACTGCCTAAAACGATACAAATTTATGAAACATATTATGGGAGAGCAACAGTTGCATGTCAAGTATACTGTCATACGAATTGCACATTCCCTGCTATTACACATGTTAACTGATATACTATTCAGCGGGGAGCGTTCTTACTACGCTAGATATTATACTTTGATTATAAATTTTCCTCGTACTAATGTACAGATCTATAGTTGCAAGTGCTACTATGACCGTCCGCTCTAATTGTGTGTGTGTGTGTGTGTGTGTGTGTGTGTGTATGTGTGTGTGTGTGTGAGTGAGTGTGTGTACGTGCATGCGTCTCTCTCTCTCCCACACTCTCTTTCGTGTTTCTCTCTCTCTCTCTCTCTCTCTCTCTTTCTCTCTGTATGTGTGTGTGTGTGTGTGTGTGTTTGTTTGTGAGTGTGTGTGTGTATGTGTGTGTGTGCGTGTGTGCGCGCGCGCGTGCTTTTATTGTGTAAAGACCTAGTGTGTTGTGTTATGTGTTGTCTCGCACGCGAGCATCCTGGCTAGAAATCTGTTCGAAGCAAATGTGAGTGGCTATAAATTTATTATTCTCTTTTTAAATGTGAAAATCAGAAGAAAACAAGATATTCAGGGGTCGACAGTGAACATGTGTGGCAAACGTGGGAACCAGTACGAGTCATAAATAGGTGTATGTCGAGGTTAGACTCAGCTGTCTTTAAATTCTTCGAGGCTCAAAGACTTGCATTCATTTTGAATTGCAATATGGCATATTGATTTTCTTGACTTTCCAAAACGCGTGAAAACCTGGCCGCACTCTAGTTTCCACATCCGGAACTCGGCACAACATTTCACTACACAACAGTAAACATGGAGAGCATCAGGACGACCTCTGTAATACTAATTCTGTTGACTTTTGTTTCTGTGGGATGTGTGAGCGGTGGGCCGACCGTCGTGTCAATTTTTCCAGCCGACTTACACTCCATTACAGAACCCGGTGGAAGATTAAAAATGGAGGCTCGCCGGAAAACAGAAATTCTTCTCACTGGGAGTGGTTTGGAAGAGGAGTCAAAGATGTTTTTCACTCCGGACGAAAACTCATGCGCTGGTTCTTTGAGAAAAACACGCTCTTTTACCATTACTGATGTTAGTAGTGATGGGTCCAGTGGTTCAGCTGAAATTGAACTCCTTCCGTTGCTGGAAGGAGAAGAGAATTATTACATTTGTGTGCAAATCAAGCAAAATCATTCTGAGTACCAACACCAAGGCAATAAGGCTTGGCTCACAATTTCTGTGTATGAAGTAGAGCCTACCAGTCCCTATATGCTGCCTCTGGGGCTGCAGATTTCCATAGTCTGTGTTCTGTTAGTGCTGTCTGGATTGTTCAGTGGTCTTAATTTAGGCTTAATGGCACTTGATCAAACTGAATTGGAAATTATTGAAAGAGTAGGATCTCAGAAGGAAAGAAAGTATGCCAAACGGATTGCGCCTTTGCGAAAACGGGGCAATTTTCTATTGTGCACACTCTTGTTGGGAAATGTGATGGTGAACAGTACTTTCACTATTCTTTTTGACAACTTGACTAATGGATTAATTGCTGTTATTTCGTCAACTGTTGGAATTGTGTTATTTGGTGAAATTATCCCACAAGCAATTTGTTCTCGGCATGGCTTAGCTGTTGGTGCAAAAACGTATTGGCTCACAAGAATTTTTATGATTGTAACATTCCCTGTGTCATTTCCAATTAGCCTCATTCTTGATAGAATTCTTGGTGAGGAAATGGGCCAAGTTTATAATAAGGAAAAATTGCAAGAGTTGATTCGAATGACTGCAGACAGAAGAGTACTCCATGACAATGAAGCTAATATTATTTCTGGTGCTCTTCAGTTGACTAATAAAAGTGTGGAAGATGTAATGACTAAGATCGAGGATGTTTATATGCTTGAGATACACACGTGTTTGGATTTCGAAACATTGGCTGAAATTATGCGTCATGGATACACAAGAGTTCCTGTTTATGATGCAGAAAAAACGAACATTGTGAGTCTTCTCAATACCAAGGATCTTGCTCTTATTGATCCTGATGACAACACCCTTTTGAGTACTATTTGCAAGTTTTATGATCACAAGCCACTCTTTGTGGATTTTGATTCTACTTTGGATGCTATGCTGCAAGAATTTTTGCATGGTAAGGTACTTTTTCTTGTTACGCATGCGTTCTTGTTATCATCATGTGTATTTGTTGACTGCAAGCCTAGGCCTACTACTGAACTGTGCTTTTCTGCACCATTTACTATTTTTAACTCATTCGCTACGCCGAGCCGACGTTCAATTTTAGCTTGGTTTCTATTCCAATCCACATATATCCATGTTAAAATAAAGGTCATAGTATTATAATGTTGACTTCCGGGTCAAGCAAGCGTTTCCACCAAAAATCGGAAGTTTTGATTCAGTTTTGAAACACTATTTCCTAGTTTATTCGACTTTGTTTTATTGCGAAGCCCAAATTATAGCCCAGACACCAGTCTTAGTACTTTTACACAACAAAATGTATCATTATTTTGCTCACTAAAGAAATGTATGACTCTTCTTTATAATATTGATACTATTGGACGCAAATTGCCGGTGCACTGTAATATTTTTGAGTGCTAGATCTAGATCTAGGCCTAGATCTAAATAGTCAAAATATTTTTTTCTCCCCCAAAATCACTACTTTTGGGTGAGATTAATCAGAAAGTACCACTCAAGACATGTATCTAGGTTTAAATTCCAAATGCAATTCTGAATAATTCCATATAAGATACACACGCATATTTTTCTCTGTTTGTGATCCTTTTTTCAAAATTATTTGCATTTTTTTTTTTTTCAATATCGGATGTTATGATCCAAATGTACAATTTAATATTATGGAATGTCATGTAAATAACTGCACATTTTTCAATATTTTCCTGTTATATAGAGTAGGCCCGCATCACCGCGCTACTGTTTGGGTGCGCAACCCCCGGTCTCCTGCTTTGTTTTGGATAAGAACAGCGATAACGAGGTCATTTTCTGTGAGCATGCGCAGAATGCAGCTTTTCACTTTCGTTTTGGAGGTTCCTGTCAACACACGTGATTCTACGGTGTCGGAAAGTTTTGCCCCTTCATATTAATGGTTTTCGTAACCGGTATCGGTCAATTTACTAAGCCACTAAGCGCTTGAGTAGTCGATTATTTAGCACATCTAGCTAATCTAGCTCTAATGTATCGTAGAATGTATACTAGAATCGATAAATACTATCGCAGGCTGCTTCTTAATGCCCAGGAACATGCCAGATAGGGTTGCGCACTTAAGCAGACCAAATTTGTGCAGTCCGTTTCAGTGCGCAATATCAGCATTTTTGCTATTTGGCATTGATAGTGTGACTTCTAGGCCCTTTGTTTGTTTTACTTATTAAGTTATTTCTTTATGACCTGCATTGTGCACTGAAACAGACTGTTTTCCTTCCATTTGGATGCATTATATTGCCATTGGAAGATGATAAGTTAATGTATTCATGTCAAAATTAATTAATATGGAAATATAATCTCCAAAATGTTCAATTTCTTCTTTTCATGTCTTTTTCTTCTTCTTTTTTGCCCTTTTCCTTAAAGAATACTAGTCTAGGTATAGTCTAATTCTTGTTTTCTTCTTTCACTTCCTTGTGTCCACAGCACCTTTCTTTTTCAATTTCTTCTTTTCACGTCTTTTTCTTCTTCTTTTTTGTCCTTTTCCTTCTAAAATACTAGTCTAGGTATAGTCTTATTCTTGTTTTCTTCTTTCCCCTTCTTGTGTCCACAGCACCTTTCTTTTTATCCATTATCAAAACACATACACAAGGTATAAGGAAATCTCCTGTTAGGGGGCGCACAGCTCCCAAAAAGAACACGCCTAATTGACCTTGGCCTTCCGTTATGGTCAGTACAGGAACTTCTTGCAAGGAAAAGAAGACAAGGCAAGGATAGAGAAAGATGAAAAGTGTCAGAAAAGAGCTAGATCTAGATCTAGAGCTGTAAACATGGTACTATTGCGCACCCAACCAGACGATATGTTGCACCAAACCAGAAACCTTGCGCACCAAACCAGACACACGACTTCTGGTGAAAAAATCATGAAGATCGACCTGTAACTTCCAGAGATATCCACAAAAGATCGCTTACTGTATATCGCACCACAGGATGTACTCTATACAGTTATGCATAGAGCATTGCATAAGTGGATATGCGCTATATAAATGCAATCCATTATTATTATTATGATTATTTTGAAGTATCATTTGACTAGATCTAGGTGCAAACATATTTTTTTAGTTTCACCTGAGATTATAAATTTTTTATTTTCCAATTTTATCCGCATCCAATCACAATTGTGTTGCATAATTGCCTCTTACAGGAACCAAAGTGAAAAATACGCAAATAAATAATGCAGATGTATTCTACAAACCATACTGAAAATGTTGGTATGTAAAATAGTATGTTGATATTTATTTGAATTTATGACCCCAAAGACCTGTGAACTGCGCACTAGTCATCATCTCTTTTCGCCCTCCCGAAAAGAATTCGTCCACAAGCCGAAAATTTAATAGTACACGTAGCGAATGAGTTAAATTATAATCACTGGGTGTTTTGTGGTTGATATTTACAAAGTGACTATTTCTCCGAACGTTCGGGAAAATAAGTTGAACTCTATTTCTCCGAACGGTTTCCGATCTCGAGATTTTTTGGGTAATTTGCTAGAAAGGCCTCATCCTTTCCTTTTCTGCCATTCTGTGAGGACTGGGAAGAAACATTTTTTGCATCCAATTCTATTTCTAGAGCTGAATATATTCAGATACTTCAGTTGTGGTGGGGGCAATGTTCCCGGACTATACTTCATTTGACCTTCGAAAGGTACTGCGAGAAAACAAGGCTGCTCGACCTTGGCTGTAACCTATTTTGCATTTAGTCACCCAGCAAAAAACTAAAATCCTTCATAAAAAAAAAAAAAACCCTCCTCGCCCCCCCCCCCCCCCCCCCCCCCAACCTGTTAACACCTTACACGCACACAGACACACATGCATGCACACTCTCACACGCACACACACAGGCAACTCCATTCGCTTGTATTTACACAAGTCTCGAGAACGGAAACCGTTCGGAGAAATAGAGTTCAAGTTTATTTTCCCGAACGTTCGGGGAAATAGAGCCGGCCTAATATTTAAATGTGTCAATTGCCACCGAGTGACGCGTGGCAATTGACAAAAATTGACTTTTTGTCAATTGCCACCGAGTAAATTGGAGCTCTTTTGCGTTGGTGGGTAGATCTAGCTTTTTGTGCTCGAGCCCTCAGTGTTGTGCGTTCGCCTCTCTGTCCCTCTGTGTGTGTGTGTGTGTGTGTGTGTGTGTGTGTGTGTGTGTGTGTGTGTGTGTGTGTGTGTGTGTGTATGTGTGTGTGTTTTCCTGACCCCCGTCCCTCGATTTATGTTCCCCGATATAACGTGAATTTCTGCTTGAGTTTGTGTGCGTTTGTGACCTTCTACTTAGTCTAGAATTGCCTGTGCCGGTTCTACACCAAAGTGTAGGCTAAGGCTAGCCTAGATCTAGGCGTACGTCTCATTGAAAACACGCCAAGTTGGTACCGTAGTTCTAGCCTAGATCTAGATTTTGGATGCTTGGCCAATGAAATTAGTTCAGAACAAATTGACCCATTAGACACACATTATGTATAATGCTAAAGATAGTGTTGTTTTCAGACTTGACACCGCTTCACTCGGTGACAATTGACAAAAAATATTTAAATAGAACTGTTTTGAGTTTTAAACCTTCTATAACTTCTTCCTTTTTTACAAAAGTTTCGTTTTCCACTAAGTTTACAGTTTAGACTTTGAAGCCAAGACAAATAGAAATTAATACAGTCGAACCTGTGTAAAACGGCCACCCATTGCCAAAGAGATTTAGCTGGCAGTATACGACAGGTGGCCGTCTTAGGCAGGTGAACAACATAAAAGAAAGGTCATTCCCTTCTGAGGTCCAAACTGGGACTGATCAGAATAGCCAAACACTATTTCAAAAGTTTTTTTTTGTTTTCTGAAAGGGGGTGGGGGTGTAGGAAGGTTTTTTTTTTATTGTTGTTGTTGTTGTTTTTTTTTAGCTTTTTTTAATTTAATGCTGATATTGTGCAAGGGTAAAATAAACGATTATTAATGTCTGACGATGAAGACCGATTGTCGTGGCAAAAATACAAAGACATTGGGTGGTCACCACCACTAGGAGAATGAGTGACGTTTCTATCGCAAGTTTATATGTTAACCTCCATTGTTACTTTGTTACAGAGATTTTAAAAGTAAACAAAGCAGTGACCAGTCATCTCACTTTCTATTTGTGCATGAGTTGTGGGTGGGGCTTTTATATAATAGAGGTTTTATGAAGGACCACAAGCTTCCCTCACCAGCAGCTGTAAAAGATTGTTACCCAGTGGTCAAGTTGGGTAAACATTAGATTGGAGGAAAGTTCTCTCTAACAAAATATGACAGGTGAGTGAATGGATTATAAAAATGATTGCCTGCCAACTGCGCCAGGGACCAATTCAAAATTCATGACAAAGAGTCTGGCGATGAGAGAGACTACTGGCTGCCCAAGACTGGTAAATTTGGTTGATAAAACAAGGTCGTCTTGACCACGTTGGACATGTGACTGTTTTACACAGTTTAATGAAATAGAAAAAACGCAAGGTGGTGAAGTGGAAAGTGGCCGTTTGTACAGGTGGCCGTCACGGCAGGTTCGACTATTATTATTGTCTCTTCCTCGTGTGATGGGTTTGCAAAACTGTATGATCATGGTCCTAAAAATAAATGCTTTATAAATGTTCCTCTATGCCATGAGATGTCTTTGGGAAAGCAACAAACCAGGATCACACTCAATCACACTGTGATAACATTCTCAAGTTATCGATGAGGAAAGATATAGTGTATGGATTTGGAAATCATGATCACACTAACTAATTTATACTGAGAAAGCAACACAGTGTATTTTTCCATTGGAAAATCACAAGGTTAAATCTCTAGTTTTGATGTTTTGATACACAGTATTGCAGGGATTTTAGAATTTTGTTTTAAATTATATTAGCTTACTTTGCATAACAACCGTAGACCCCACTGCAGTGTATTTGTTTCTCACATTTCGTTGCAGGAA